TCACCATCTTTAAACACATTATTCATGAACTTTATGTAATCTTCTTTGTACTTGGGGTTCTTGTCCATTTTCATTTTCAAATATTTCAGACGAACTGTTGCAAGCTGCTTGTTATTTGGAAGCTGTGGACGTTCTTTAAAAGGTAAAGGCATTTCTAAATGACCTTGCTCATTGTAGTGAATGTTTTCATTTAGCATCTCTAAAAACTGAATGTCCTCTTGAGATATGTTCCCTTCTTTGGGGTTAGTGTCCAGAAAATCAGCTTCAAGTGCTTTAATCACAGATGCAGGTGTAATAGATGGCAATTCCTTTACTATTACACGATGGCAGGTCCCAGTTGCGCCCACTGAACCTGTCCATGGCTTAATGGGTCCCACAATGCTCCATCCCAAGTCTGTTTTAACTGCATAGGGATCATAATCCTCTCCTGGTATGACCTTCCTTGGTTTTAGAGCTCTTGTACAGTCATAACCAATGAGGAGAGCTACAGGACAGTCCAAGAGATCTGGCATTTCATTTGCAATGCTGAGTAGGTGGGGCCATTTTTTTGCAGTCTCTCGAGTTGGAATACTGTTTTTCTCAAGTGGAATGTATTCTCGAGTATATGTAGGTGGCAACTCAATATACTCTTGTGAGTGGTACCCTCTAACTCTCAGTCCTTCCACTCTTTGACTAGGCACAATAGAACACCTGTCAGTTATGGTTGTCAGCTTTAATTTAACGGGTCCTGTTCTTGCTTGTAATTTTTCACAAACATTTTGATCAATAAATGTATTGCTGCTTTGGGTGTCTAGCAAAGCATAAACCAATGTCTCTGGTCTATTTGTTGAAGAAGAAAGCCAAACTGGGACAATCATTGAAGTGCAATCACTGTTGTCCAATTTCACACTGCATGATACAGTGGCTGCATTTTCCTCTTTCGGTAACATCTCAGGCTTATCTGGTTGTGGATGATCTTCATGAAGAGGAGAAGGGTGCTTCCGCTTGCAAACATTACATGTTACTCTTTGTTGACAGTTCTTGGATATGTGACCAACACGAAGACAACCAAAGCACATATTGTTGTCGATAATGAACTGCTTCTTTTCTTCAAGAGACATTGCTGTAAACTTGTCACATTTGTAAATAAAGTGATTTTGCCTGCAGCAGATGCATTCAATTTGCCTTTTATTCTGAGTTGAGGAAATGTTGGGTTTGGATTTTTTGTTGATCTGTGTTGCAGCTGTGGCCTTTTCATTTGTAGACACATTCGTTGTTGTCATCAGGACACTGGCTTTCTGACATTTTTGTTCCTTTTCAGGTTTTTCAAATGTGTTCTTTAAGGCAAACAAAGAAGAAACTGGATTGCATGCTATTCGTGCTTCTTCTGCCACAAAGTCAGCAAACTCTGTGAAACCTGGATATTCCTTTCCTTCATCTAACAGTTTTGACACATGACGGTTCCAGCGGGTTGTTGCCCAATCAGGAAGTTTCAGTAATAATTTTTGATTCTCCTCACAATCATCCAACACTTTGAGGCCCTGAACATGGGGCATAGCATTCTTACAGGAAACAAGGAAATCACTAAACTCTCTCAGCTTTAGTGACTCTTTTGGTCCGATCTTTGGCCAACTGCTTAGCTTTCCCCGAAAAGCTCTTTGAACTACAAATGGGTGGCCATAACGGTTGTTCAGAGCATCCCAAGCTTGGTTGTAAGCTTCCTCATCACTGCGATAGAATGTCCCTTCTAAAACACCAAGAGCTTCTCCATTAATGTATTTCTTCAAGTAGAAAAGTTTATGGGCTGAATTTGTGCAACTAGTCTCAATAAGAGCCTTGAAGCAAGTGCTCCACTCAGTAAACTTCAGTGGGTCTCCTGTAAAGGTAAATGGCTCTGGTATTGGAAGTCTAGTCATTGCTAAAGACTCCTTTAAAGCTTGAACTAGAGATAACTCACTTTCTTTTGACGCTACTCTAGTATCACACTTGGGCACTGGAAGATATTTTGGGATCTTGTTGGTTATACCTTCAAAGTTAGGAGGTGCCGTACTCTGGATAGCTTGGGTGTATGGAGGACTGTTAAGAGGTTTGGGAAGCTGACTAAAAGACAAAGTACCTTTTACTTCACTGTTTCTTATTTCAGCATTCAATTTTGATTCCTCTTCAGCATACACATTGTATTCAGCCTCAATAACCTCAAGATCTCTTTGCTTTTCCAACAATTTTAATCTCTCTTGTTGAGCTAATATCTCCTTTCTTTGGGCAGAAATTTCCTTTTCCCTGCTTATTTCAGCTCGTTTAGATGCCAACCGTGCAGCTGCCTCTGCTTTCTTTGCAGATACCTGACTTCCTTGCTTACTATAACTGTTCTGGCTACTTTTTTCAGCCCTAGACACAGTTGAGCCATACATTGACTTAGCATCTTCTCTCTGAAGCAACTGAAGGAGTGAGTCTCTTACAGCAATTGCATCAAACTCCTTATCAACATCTGCATAGCGCCTTTTCAGAAGCAACATCATTTCAGTGGAAACTGAAGAACAGCTATCCATCTTTCTTCTGAAATCTTGAGATGGAGTAGTCAGTGTACGTAAAGCTACATAATCTTGCTGTAGGTCAGATTCACATTTTCCTACTGATTTGATCATTTCAGTTAACTCTGCTTTTGAACATTCCTTTTTAAGTTTGGACCTAGAGAGTTGAATCTCTGCTTTAAAGTTTACATATGTTGACATAAACTTTCTTTCTTTACTTGTTATCTCAGACTGTTTAAAGTCACGCATTTTTTCTGTTAGTTTTCTTTGACGCTCTGAGCGTCTCACTTCTGTCTCAGGTTGGGATGATGGCTGAGTCAAACCTATTTTATGTATTTCAAGGTCTGCATAAATTTCACCTAAGCGTATTTCAACTTCCTCTCTTTCTGCATCTTCAACTTCAGTTTCTAATTTCTTTTCTAAATGTAACTTTTCAAATTCTAAAGCTACAAGTACTTCCTCTAAAACACGAGTTTCTTGTACACCCTGCTCCATTGTGAACAATATTTTAAACCAACAGCTAAGAACAATGAAAGAAAACTTAACATGAGAACACTACTTCAAATTTAAAACTGTAAAATAGTAACAAACCTTTTTTCTTTTTAACAAACTTTCAATAATATCTGTAGCATACACCTCCGTGCTTGTGTCAGTTAATCATTCGCTCCGCTCGCGCGCACCTTCCAGTGTCAAATTTCAATCCAGCCAGCAGGTGGCGTCAAATCAACAAAGAAATTAAATTAAATATTTCCACAGTTAAATCAAACAAATGACAATGAATAACCACATTTAACTGCGACAGCTACATATTACATGTGTATAACTTATTGTTTTATACAGGTAAAAACGTGTGGAGATAAATCTATATTTTACTTTTCAACAATTTGTTTTGTTTTCTTGTTTTTATTTAACTATTTTCCTGTCCTGTCTGTCTCTCATCTTCCTGCGTCTCCTCTAAACTTTCCAGAAAAAACTGCTGCCTGGATTCTTACTTTTTCACCTCATCAGTTACTTTTGAGCAGATCAAAGGGATCTCCTGACCGCAAAGCGGAGTGCGCCTTTCGATGCTGCGTCAGTGAGGTGAAATCACCGCAGCACATGATGAGCTGCGCAGCAGCAGAGCGCTTCAGGCACAAATAAGACAGAAAATAGAGAATATGTGCGGACATGAATGATCGTGTGCTAATTATAGTTTTTTGGTTGCGCCACTTTGAGAATGGACCGTGCGCTGGAAGCAGCTGCCTGGAGCGCTGCGCAAGAACGCGCTGTGCCGCTCTCTGTGCTCTCTGCTCAGAAGAGTCCATAAATGATGTAATATAGATAGAAAACTTGTTTCCGGCTCCCCTGGATGTGTAAGATATCCAGCTCCCCCATAATTCGATCCCCGCTCCTGGATGAAAAGCCGGACATTTTCATCAATACGACCGCGGACCCCCAGTCCGGACGCCCGGACAGAGAGTGAAAAGTAGACATGTCCGGGGAAAACCGGACATACGGTCACCCTAGTTTAATATAATGCGGGAGATTACAGATATGCCTACAGTATTTTGCTCGTGCGCTTGCTGCCCTGGGCCCCTTAGAGTTCGTCGGCCCTGGGCAATTGCCCAGTTGCCCATATGGTTAATCCGGCCTTGCGTATAGTGACTTGTTGTTAGGCTTTTCAATTTGTTGTGCGTTTAGTGATTTGTTTTTGTGTTTAGTGAATTTGTTGTTGTGCTTTTCAATTTGTTTTGCGTTTAGTGATTTTTTGTTGCAATACACTTTATTGGCAAAAATCACCTAAATATTACTGTAGAAATGGGAAAATGGTGGCTTCAGCGTCCAGTCCTGCCAGAAGCTGCCAACACGCAGACGGAGTTTATCAGAAAAAAAGTTGATTTGGGGGTGACTTGCCTTTAAAAAAAAAATCAGAATGACAGAGAATAATGTTCCACATGTTGGCAGCTTGTTGGAGTAGCCCAAATATGTTAATGTGATGCGATTGTAGTCTGGATACTTTTTTCGTCTTTGTTTTTTAAATTGAACGCATTGTTTTAGTTTTTTTCTTTGCCTTTAATCATTCTTGTTTGAATGCTTGGAAGATTTTTGCTATTACTTTTCTACCTTTTGGCCACTTGTTATGATGCATAACCATAACAACAAGACACTTGTTAACAAATAAAGAGGAAGCAGCTAACTGTCATGTTCTTTATTTGAACCAGTGCGTTTGATGCAATATAGAGAGGTGAACAAAAAAATCTGAGATTCATGTATTAATAGTTTATTTTTCAGAGTTTCTCACATTTACTGCTTTCATAGTAGAATTGTTTTTTAACTTTCAAAATAAAAGCACAATTTAACAGGATATCTGTTATATCACTAAAAATAAGTTAATTACTTTAAAACATTATATATGTCAGTCAAACATAATTTAACATGAATATTTTATGGAAACATGCAGGTTTGTTTTTCCAAAAAGAAAGAGGTATTTTATTTTAATGCACTTCCTGGTTTCCGTGACCCCTCCACAAATCCTTCCGTGTCCGACACCGCCATCCTTCTCCCTCAGTTCCCGGTGCAGGACACACACAGGATAAAAAAATGCTGTCAGTTCGCTTGGCAGCGGCTCTTGTCCGCAATTTACCTCGAAGAGCTGGATTTGTAAGAACATCTAAATTGTTTATGCGTAGTTTTTGATTTCATGAACGAGAAATGTGGGGTTTTATCAGACAAATCGTTTCCGTGTGGTTTCTGCACTCGTCTTTGAACTGGAGGACACCGGGCCCTTCACTGGCCGACTGTTGGTCGACAGACCTTTAGGACAATAAGCTTATTTTTGTTGTGTAATAAATTACACATTTAGTATTTGGTCAGCGGTAGAGTCTACTGTGCTCATTTTGGAACGCTGAATAAATAGTTCAGGTTTATCTCTGCTTGCTAGCTATTATGTTTATGCTAATTTTTATTTATATTTCATTTTTGAATATTGTCCAATAGAATTATAAACATTTATTTTTAACTACGAATTATTGAAAAATTAAAGGGCTTTTAGGCTTTTATTTCAGCTTCGTCCGCATGTTTGACACATTTAGCTGTGTTTAAAATGATAAAATCCCATTCTCAAAGTCACGACATGTAAAAATAAAGCATGTCAGAACTTTGTGCCTAATTTTCCAACTTTCAGATTTATTCAGTCTTTTGAGTTTTATCATCAAATACCTGAATAAATTAGATTTTTTGTTTGTATACTGCATTTTTGTTTTTTCCCCATATTCATTACTCTAGATCTTACTAGAAATGCTCCAAATATATGCAAAATGTCACTTAGAACTGCCTAATTAGAATTTAATGTATTCCCTTTATGGGCAAAATAGGTGCAGCATTGAAACAATCCTTCAAAATAATTCTTTGAATTAATGCACATCTGTTAGAAAACCCCTATAAAGCACAGTACTTAACTTTTATTGGATGAATGCTGCATTAGACTGCTTTGATTATCTGGATTTAACCTAAAATTTGTTACAAATTGGTTGTTAAACAAATAATTAAAGTGGAAATAAAAAACTGATTTCGTTAAATATCTCTTGACTGTGCTAAAGGTTTCCAAGAACTTTGCTGCTGTGTGTGTAGGGGCCAAGAACCTGCACACCACACATCCATGGCTGCAGAAAACAGGTTGGTTTTTCAGGAAACTGGTTTCCATCTACATGAAAATGGTTTAGCTTTTTGTCAGTAGGGCTCATATGAATCTTGCTCATTACCCATTCTTTAAAGGCACAGCTGAAGTCTCTTCCATTCTGGAGGAGAAGATCATAGGAGCTGACACCAGTGCTGATCTGGAGGAGACTGGTCGTGTGCTGTCCATCGGTGATGGTATTGCTAGAGTGTACGGTCTGAGGAATGTGCAGGCAGAAGAGATGGTGGAATTCTCCTCTGGTCTGAAGGTGATCTTCGACTGAAGGAAATGCACGGATGTGTCCGAGCTTAAGCATTTGCTTTGACTGATTTGACATTTGCAGTAGGGTTGGGCGATGGGATGAATTATTTGACCATCGACGATGGGCTGAGCCGGTACAGTTGATTTTACTAGAGGCGATTTGTTTATTTATTTTTATCCGCGAGTTAGTTTGTTAATGACAGATATTTTACACGTTATGCACAGAAAACATTGCGGAGAATAAATTTAAAAAGATCTCGATCAGCGCATCTGAGCATTATCTCACACTTTCGCCGCATCTTGCTGCCGACAGTGGGCGCAAGCGGTGTGCTGAAGAGGAGCTCGGAGGGCGTCTGTGACGCACTCGACATTATGCACAAGAGCAGAGTGTCGAGTGGAAACCCTTCTATCTTTCAGATAGTCTGGTAGACTTCAGGTTATTTCATTTGGAGACATTTTTCTTGATTTGAAAACTTTGGCTCAGGTAGCGCTCGTTATTCAGCTCCTGCTTCGAATGTGTCAGCAGAGCATGGGCTCATCCAGAACAACATTTAAACAGCCACGAGTCTGTCTGAGTCAAAAGTCCAGAACTTCATAACAACCTCAGCAAGCTCCCTAGAGGCATTTGAATACGCACAAGCTGCAGGTGACCAGTTCAGGTTTACGCTGAAGGAGTGTGCGGTTGGACTGCAGCAGGTTAAATGTTCCTAATTTAAGGGAAGTCGTTTAAATACATTGTTAATGCCTTACTGGGGCACTCTGATCAGCTTGTTTAGACTAAATATTAATTCAAAATTAATAGAAATTTAACATTATTGAATGATTATTATTTTAAAATGAAAGTGAAGGGAGTAAATGGATCATGCGACTGCTGGCTGCGAGCAAATGCTCCCTCCTCAGAGTGCGTTCAAACGCAGCAGCAATTCATTTCATTCCCTACTCAGACTCCTAAAAGAAAGAAATCCAGTAGCTTTTGTTCAGGAAAAAAAACATTTTGTTTCAATAAAATACCACAATGGTGGGCACTACAGGGAAACAAAGATGAGGCTTCTTTTTAATGCTTTAAACATGTTTAATATAAGCAGTTTTTACGTCACTCTTATCAAACTACAAATAAAAAATTAAAGGAAAAGAAAAATCAAAAAGGAACTTCCAGCGCTGTGCTTCTAAAAAAAAATCAGTGTTTGGACTTCTTCTGTGTTCGTAAATCAGTTCGTGCATCATGACATTGCTCAAAGAGTGGCATGCACAAATATATCGCCCATCGCATTTATTGGACTGATGATCGGTGGTGGAAATAATTATACAAATCACCCAACCCTAATTTGCAGTTTCAAAAATGTTTTCTGCAAATGTACACGTGCAAGTTTTTGTAATCTGCAAATGGCTTCATGTTCTTGTCCAGGGCATGTCGCTGAACTTGGAGCCAGACAACGTTGGCGTTGTGGTGTTTGGTAATGACAAACTGATCAAAGAGGGTGACATAGTCAAGAGGACAGGCGCTATTGTGGACGTGCCTGTTGGTGAGGAGCTTCTGGGCAGAGTTGTTGATGCTTTGGGAAACGCCATCGATGGAAAGGTACTTGTGCTCATTCATCAACCCCAAAATATGCAAATCAAAGTTCAGGACAGACACGATGGCATCAGATTCAAGCTGACGTCACATGAAGGAAAACTGACTTGACTCACGGTTGAAGATCATCCTGACGTGTCACGCTTTTAGGAAGACTAGGTCTAATTCTGGTTTATTCTCCATCCTTCTCCTAAGGGCCCTCTTGGCTCAAAAGTTCGCAGGCGTGTGGGTCTGAAGGCTCCTGGTATCATCCCTCGCATCTCTGTGAGGGAGCCAATGCAGACTGGCATCAAAGCTGTGGACAGTTTGGTCCCTATTGGACGTGGACAGCGTGAGCTCATCATTGGAGACAGGCAGACGGGGTACAAGGATTCTGTGTCTGGCAGCTTTTGGTGTTGCTGCTGATGCCTTTGAAACATTGTTGCTAATTGTTTTTTTATCATCTTTATCAATTTTTAATCTACAATGAAACATATTGTTTCTTGACAGAGAGAAAATCAGTCTATATGACCACAAATTTTATTTTATCCAGAGTTTTTTAAGTCCTTCATTTATTGTTGCAGCAAAACTGCAATCGCCATCGACACGATCATCAACCAGAAGCGCTTCAACGATGGGACGGACGAGAAGAAGAAGCTGTACTGCATCTATGTCGCCATAGGCCAGAAGAGGTCCACGGTGGCTCAGCTGGTGAAGAGGCTGACCGATGCTGACGCCATGAAGTACACCATTGTGGTGTCTGCTACAGCCTCTGATGCAGCTCCGCTGCAATACCTGGCTCCCTACTCAGGCTGCTCCATGGGGGAATATTTCAGAGACAACGGCAAGCATGCGCTGATCATCTATGATGATCTCTCCAAACAGGTGGGATTTATTTCCTTTTTTATAGTTTTTCTTGTGCTTATAAATCCGTTTGCTCCAGGGTTCTTTTGAATTTTTCTGCAGGCCGTCGCCTACCGTCAGATGTCCCTGCTGCTCCGCCGTCCCCCCGGTCGCGAGGCGTACCCCGGAGATGTCTTCTACCTGCATTCCCGTCTGCTGGAGAGAGCTGCTAAGATGAACGATAACTTTGGTGGCGGCTCCCTCACGGCTCTCCCTGTGATTGAAACTCAGGCTGGCGACGTGTCAGCCTACATTCCCACCAACGTCATTTCCATTACAGACGGACAGGTAAGAGGGTGATTTGTTTCATCCAAGCATTTATTCATCATGAACTCCCCTCTAAATGCTTTTATTTCCCCACAGATCTTCTTGGAGACGGAGCTGTTCTACAAGGGTATTCGTCCGGCCATCAACGTGGGTCTGTCTGTGTCGCGTGTTGGATCTGCTGCTCAGACCAGAGCTATGAAGCAGGTCAGTCCTGCAAACATCCCAACCTTTCTCCCACTGAAACATTTCCTGGTGTGCTGATTTCTGTCTCTCACTCCCATCAGGTGGCTGGAACCATGAAGCTGGAGCTGGCCCAGTATCGTGAGGTGGCTGCTTTTGCCCAGTTTGGATCTGATTTGGACGCCGCCACCCAGCAACTGCTGAACCGTGGCGTGCGTCTGACCGAGCTGCTCAAACAGGGACAGTACTGTGAGTGTTGTGTGTTCATTTCATCATCTCACTCGTAATGTCTGTTTTTATTTTCACCCCCTGAATTTCTTTTGTCTTTCAGCTCCAATGGCTATCGAAGAACAGGTAGCAGTGATTTATGCGGGTGTTAGAGGACATTTGGACAAAATGGAGCCAAGCAAGATCACCAAGTTTGAGAAGGCGTTCCTGCAACACATCCTGAGTCAGCAACAAGACCTTCTGGCAAATATTAAGTAAGTTAACCCTTTTGCACTCCTAGGACATTTTGTGTTTATGTGAATAATTTTCGCTGTGCAAATTCAGTGAATAAGTTTTTTCACAGGATGTGTATTTTTGGGGGAGTACCAAAAATAATAAAATTCCTTTGCTGCATTTAATATAATGCTTAAATGACTTGATAGCTTTCCTGCTTCTTTGTCATTTATTGTGCCATTGACGCATGTAAATAATATTTTGTAATAAGCCAAAATATCAGCATTTATTATTATTTTGTTTGGGTTACCAGACCAATCACACTTGATTTAAAGTTTTTGTTTTCCAATAGATAGCATATTTGTTCATGTATTCAGAAAGTATTCAGGCCCTGCGTCAATTTTTTGACTCTTTTTTTTTAATATTGCAGCCATTTGCCAAAATCCATTAAATTAACTTTTTCCTCATTAATGCACACACAGCACCCCACATTGACAGAAAAACACAGAATTTTAGAAATTTATGCAGATTTATTAAAAAAAAAAACCCTGAAATATCAGATGATCCTAAGTATTCAGACCCTTTGCTCAATATTTAGTAGAAGTACCTTTTGAGCTAATACAGCCATGAGTCTTCTCGGTAAAAATGCAACACGTTTCCTACATCTGGATTTGAGGATCCTCTGCCATTCCTTCTTGCTGATCATCTCCAGTTCTGTCAGGTTGGAGGGTGAACGTTGGTGGACAGACATTTTTAGGTCTCCACAGAGATGCTCATTGGGTTAAGTCAGGGCTCTGGCTGGGGCGTTCAAGAACCGTCACAGAGTTGCCTTGAATTCCCTCCTTTGTTATTTTAGGTGTGTGCTTAGGGTCATTGTCGTATTGAAAGGTAAACCTTTGGACCAGTCTGAGGTCCTCCGCACTTTGGAGACAGTTATTGTCCAGGATATTCCTGTACTTGTCCGCAGTCATCGTTCCCTTTATTAAAACCAGTCGTCCTGTCCTTACAGCTGAAAAACACCCCACAGCATGATGCTACCGCTGCTATGCTTCATTGTGGGGACTGTATTGAACAGGTGATGAGCAGTGCCTGGTTTTCTCCACACATACAGCTTAGAATTAAGGCCAAAGAGCTCGATCTTGTTCTCATCAGACCAGAGAATCTTATTTCTCACCATCTCTGGGTCCTTCAGGTGTCTTTTAGCAAACTTCATTCAGGCTTTCTTGTGTCTTGCACTGAGGAGAGGCTTCTGACGGGCCACTCTGCCATAAAGCCCTGACTGGTGGAGAGCTGCAGTGATGGTTGACTTTTCACAACTTTCTCCCATCTCCTGACTACATCTCTGGAGCTCAGTCACAGTGATCTTTGGGTTCTTCCTTACCTCTCTCACCAAGGCTCTTCTCCCTGGTAGCCCAGTTTGGCCAGACTGCCTGCTCTAGGAAGGGTTCTGGTCATCCCAAACCTTTTCCATTTAAGGATTATGGAGGCCACTCTGCCCTTACCACTGGAGGTTTCATCGGCACAGAATGGCAGTGGAACGGTTTACTCGCAAAATCACTGCACTCCCGTGCACACCGGGAGAGCGGCTTCCCCGCTCGAGTCGCGAGATCACAAAATCCCTCGTTTGTGCCGTCTTTCATTAAACCAGAAAGAAGGAAATCATGTTTTATTTTGCTGTTTGATATGTTCTTCCTCTCCACTGCCAGGATTAAAGCTCTTCAGACAGTTGCTTTGACCTCATGATTCTCATTTGCTCTGACATGCATTGTGAGCTGTAAGGTCTGCTATAGAGAGGTGTGTGGCTTTCCTAGTCAAATCCAGTCTAATCAAACACAGCTGGACTCCTGTGAAGGTGTAGGACCATCTCAAGGGTGATCAGAAGAAGTGGAAAGCACCCGAGTTAAATATGAGTGTCACAGCACAGGGTCTTAATACTTAGTAGGACCATGTGATATTTCACTTTGTCTTTTAATAACTTTTAAAAAACTCAGCATACATTTTTCTGTCAGTACTGGGTGCTGTGTGTACATTAATGAGGATAAAAGTGCTGCAATATAACGGAGTAAAAAACTGATGTGGGTCTGAATAATTTCCATACCCAGTGTAGCAGGGGAATGACTGACACTTCATTTAGATAATAATAAAAAAAACGAAAAATATTTTTATGCACATTTGTGACACTCCAAAGTGTTGAAAATGTACCCACAAAACAAGCCCTCTAAACAAAACACAAACAGTAGATTTAAAATTTTTTACATGTTCACAATTTTGGGTTTGATCATGAATCTGGCAATAAACTGGTTAAATCTCAAACACATTTTATTACTGCTAAAGCTAAGAATGAAATTCATGTAATAAATTGCGACTTAATATATATTTCTATAGAAGTTTTGTTTCAGCATTTTTGTGCACAAGGAGTAGAAACGCCATAAACATTAAGGAATGTATGAGGGTTTAGAGTTGTGCATGTTTTCCCCTCTTTAAGTATGCAGATATGTTGTAATCTTTTTTTTTTTTTTTTCAGGGCTGATGGTAAAATCTCTGAAGCTTCTGACGCTAAGCTCAAGCAGATTGTATTGAATTTCCTCTCAAGCTTTGAGTAAAGTGTCAGTTTTTCCATCTAGTTTTTGTTGTGCAGCAACAGCCACGCTGTCTATGAAATTAGAAAAAAAACAAGTGACACTTGATCATTAATGTACAGATATCTTAACAGGAAATAAAATGTTCCAACAACAGACGAGTCATTTTATTGCCAAGTTTCTGTTATTTTATTATTGGTTTATTACATTTAAGTAATCAGGAATGCATTGTTTTGTAGGGAAATGATTATGAAGTTTAGTTTCTGGTTATTAAAAACATTTATTTAAAAATTATAAAATTTTAGAACTCTTCATGAAACCAGATTTATCCAATATTCACTTCACTACAGCGCCCTCTGCTGCTCAGAAGCTGCAGATTACAAATCTATTGAACACACCTTAACAAAATGTTCAAATGGTCTGTATTTGATATAGCACCTTCTAGAGTCATGGAACCCCCCAAGGCACTGTAGAGAGGTAATTGTTGCTTTTAAGATTATTGTATTGCCTTTAATTATGACCAGGAAGATGTGATATTCTATATAAATATAGAATATCAACCTGCTTGGTCTTTTGAATGTTTAATCAGAAGATTCTAGGATTCTTTGCTTTTTCAGTGATCAAACACACTTCGTGCTACTTCAAGGAGACTTAGGTTTATAAAAAGTAATAATTTATTTCCCAAACAATTAAAACATGACAAGTTAACTAATATTTACTGTGATGGATGGATCTAGGTGGATGGGATGTGATGTATGGTGACTATGTGAATGTGAGGTTATCAGAACCTTCGTATCTAGAAGACCTGAGTTTTTTTTGAAAATAATTTGGTTTGCATTTAACTATGAAGTTAGTTCTTATCAAAAGGGCATCAGACGCAATCTGTCATGTCTACGTACCCCAAGTGGAGACTCTTTTGGATCCGAGATGTCAGGGGGTCGGGTGACCCCAAAGTACAGAAGTCCGTAGATTAACCGCAGTACGACCAGGTCAGTCCAGAGTCGCCTCCAGGTCACAACGGTTGAAACTATTTTGCGTCTCAAATGGATTCTTAAGGAATCTTGCTGTGTCAGCTTTGTTCTGCAGGAACCGTTTTGCTGTATCAGCTGTAGGCAGCTTTTAGCTTGTCAAAAGCTTTGGGTTAAAGAGGGTTCGCTTCGGATGGCCTGTCCGAAGCTTTCTCTACAACTGAGTGGTGAACCTCACAGGATGTTGGAAGCTAGAAGTTGAAGTGCTGAATCACTAAGTGATTCTGTTTTAATATTCTCATATTATGATTACTTGACAAATCAGAATTGGCCATGTAAGAAGAGTTTTACCAAGAACCTCAGAAAACACGCCTTCTTTCAGATACAGGATGCTCTGATTTGTGGGGGGTAAGAAAATATCTCATAAGTTTAACTTAACTAATTTATCTCTAATGAACCTTGTCATATCCAACATTCATTTAATCATATATACAAGTCATTTCAAACTTCAGTAATTCAAGCACAGATTAATCAACCTTATTAATTTAAGCACAGGTTAATCAAAACATTTCATTTATAATTATTATAATTGACAATAAACAAACATTTATTTAATGATTATTCAACTTATGAGTTGTAGAAGTTCATTTTTTGTCCTGTGAAGCAAGCGGATAGATAAGGCCACTGCTTGGCAGAGAAGACCATGAGGAAGGAACATGATGTAGACAATACGTTATCATGTGTTCAGAGCTGCAGAGAGGCTCTGAACTCCAGCTGATGGCATGCAGGATCCGGCAGATACATGTAGACTCCTGTCTCCATATGGCCAGATACTGAAGAGGTCAAACTGTACATGAAAACTGACCATGTGTGGACGTTATAGCACTTTACAACACAGTCATTCACCCATTCACACGCTGGTGGGGATGAGTTACGATGTAGCCACAGATGCCCTGGGGCGCGCTGACAGAGGCGAGGCTGCCGTACACAGCTGCCACGGGTCCCTCCACCACCACCAGCAGGCAAGAGGGGTTACGTGTCTTGCCCAAGGACACAATGACAGCGACAAACTGAGCGGGGCTCGAACCTGCAACCTTCCGATTATGGGCCACGCACTTAACTCCTGCGCCACCATAAAACCTGCCCAGTGAGCCTCAAGGAAAATCTATTGTTGCAGCATAACAAGAAAACATAAGTAGACAGTTATCAAAGAGCAGTGATGTCATGATTTTCATTTCAGTTTCCTCTGGAAACCAAAAGAAGCTGTTTGTGTCAGTATTTAAACTTTTACTGAACCAAGAGGACCAGGGCATTAATGAGTTTATTCAAAACACTTTATTAAATTCTTAAGACCATTGGGTGAGTCACAACCTTTCAAATCGTGACATAATCTTTAAAATGTGAGGATTTGTGTGAAACGGAACAGACCAAGTAGAAAAACAGTGACTTGATTTAGAATCAACACAAGAGAACAGGAAACATTTCACAATAAAGGTGCAGAATGACTATTATAAACGGGTTTAGTGGCAGAGTGCTGACGAATGATATAAAAGTGGGAAATTATTGTGACAAAAACTTCAAAATAAGACGTACATACTTATATAAAATATATGATAAAACAAAATTAAAAGGGTGGGTTTAGACCCAGTACTGCTTTGTGTGCATGACGGCTCTGTGGTGGGTGTGATTGGGTATATTGTTCTGTTTGACGTAGCACGGGTCATAATAATCCCACTCCAGAGCTGAGGACAGGACACCGTTGGACAGGCCATCGCTGTCCGCTGACAGAATCCTCAGGGAGACACCTGGAAGACAGAACGTCCAGATCTTTGAATTTAAACTTAAAATAATGATTTTCATACATTTAATTCTTTGGTGAAGTCAGGACGGCATCCTACAGGTGAAATAATTGGAAAAAACGAACTAAAAATGATTATTTTAACCAGGAAGCTAACCTGCTGTTCCTCTGCAACATCATACTCTAATAATATATTTCCTTTGTGACCCTGTTTGGCTTTTCTTTAAGTGGGTTTCTTGTTGGCATGATGTCTGATCTAAATTCCTATCATTAGAACTTGGATGCAGAAGAATCACATACCTGCACTTGCTCCGAAGTCACTGTCCAGTCCAGAAGCTGCTGCAGACGTGTCCGAAGGCAGGTTGATGTACTCACAGTCCATGACCAGTTTACCAAACGGGTGCACGGGAACACCGAGGTTCACATCAGTCAGCTTCTCGTGAGTGCTGCTGCGGCGGATATGACTCATGTGTTCTGCTTCCTGCTGGGAATGGAGCAACTTTGGTATTTATATGGCATAAAAACTACACCAGGCAAGTTAAAACCAACAGAAACATATCAAAAACAAAAAAATAAAAATAGTAAAATGGACAATGTTATTGGCTTGTCTGAATAGGTAGGTGCTATGATAAAAATAAAATGAATCTCTGACTGGTAGCCTTTTCAAATGTAGCCGTTTGCTGCATATGCACTCAGAGCAGCGGGGGTCTGCGGCCTTTACAAAGGAAGGAGCCATTTTTACCACATGTGCAACTCTAATCTGTGTTCCACCAAGTGAACTTGACTGAAAACTTATTTTAGAACATGTCATTACCCTCTCATTGTTGGGCTAAAAAGAGAAAAGTGGCTCTGAACAAGAAATTACTCTTTAGGTAAATTACGTTGTGAAGCTGAGCTGAACTCACAGGCAGCTCAGCCTTTCACCAATAGCAGAATCCTATGGGGTGCCATTTGTAAAAATAGAAACGGTCAGAATTTAGCCATAACATTTTGGCATATTTAGCCTGTCATAGCAGAAATAAAATGGGTGTCAATTTTTCTAAGTCATATTTTCCACCATGTCATATATTCGTGTGTCAATATCAGTTCCCTTCTAAATATTTAATTAGCAAGCTAGATATTTTTGGAGTTAAGTATTTACTTCTCAAAATAAATACTGAATTTGGAGCTAAATATTTAATTTGTGATAAAATATTTAGCTTCAAACTAAACATTTATACCCAAACTAAATATTAAGCTTGCTATTTAAAGTGACAATGTGTAGTTCTTACCAGGGATGCACCAATGGATCGGTATTTGATCCCAATCTGCCAATAGCGCCCCTATCGGTTTTGATCGGAGTTTTCAAAATAGATCAAAGCAGGTGACGTTTACAACTAACCGCCGCCAGGGCAAGCTTTCCCGCTTCTCAGATCCAGGTCTCCTATTGGGGCGTGGTCTCTTCGAAGCACCTACACTGAAAATGGCGTCACCGGTGTGGAAGTTTTACAATGTGTCCGAAAAGGACAACAAATTTGCAGTTTGCAACGTGTTTGCAAAGGAGATACCCCGAGAAGGAATGCTACAAAAGAATTTCAACACAACAAACCTGGTAAGACATCTGAAAGTTTCTCACACCAAGGAGTACACCGAGTTTACAACTTTGGCTGATGCTAAGTCGGAGAGAGAAAAGCAACGTGCAGCAGTGACACCGCTAACTCAGCTGAGTGTAACAGAGACATATAAACGACAGCAACCTTACAGCAGCAACAGCAACAAAAAGAAAGAACTAAATCCCAAGGTAATGGAATTCATATGCCTTGACCATCAGCTGCTTTCTGTTGTCGAAGAAAACGCCTCATTAACTGCTTGGACCCATGCTACATGCTGCCTAGTCATAAATATTTCACAGATGAATGCCTGCCGGAGCTATATCATAGTATATACAGTCAAATCCAAAGCCTCATCCAGGATGACAAAATTGTGTCAGTCGGCTTTACGAGTGACATTTGGAGTTCTAGTGTGAGTACCATATCGATGCTGAGTCTAACTGCACAGTTTATTGATGAAAAGTTCGAGCTGAGGAGAGTTGTGCTTCACTCACAAGAGTTTCCTGGATTACACACGGCTGCTGCCATCGCTAAAGCTTTCACAGACATGTTCCACACATGGGGGACCCCAAAGGAAAAAGTACACGTTATCCTACGGGATAATGCAAGTAACATGGCGAAGGCTATGAAGGATGCTGGTTTACCAAGCCTGCCGTGTATGGCACTCACACTCCAGTTTGTTGTGAATGAGGGTGTTTTGAAACAGCGTGGAGTAATTGACGTCATCGCAACTGGACGACACATGGTCGGTCATTTTAAGCATTCTCTGCTTGCTTACTCCAGGCTATAAGACATTCAGAAAGAAAGCCCACCCCAGCAGCTCAAATGGCTACAGCAGGATGTCCCCACCCGGTGGAACAGTATTCAATTCAATTCAATTCAATTCAAGTTTATTTATCTAGCGCCAAATCACGACAAGAGTCGTCTCAAGGCACTTCACATAATAAACATTCAAATTCACAGTTCATTAAGCCAATCAGAAATAATGTTTCCTAAATAAGGATCCCAGCAAATTGCATCAAGTCACTGAGGAGTGTCAGTGACTATACAGCAATCCTCATACTAAGCAAGCATGCAGCGACAGTGGAGAGGAAAACTCCCTTTTAACAGGAAGAAACCTCCAGAGAATCCTGGCTCAGTATAAGCAGCCATCCTCCACGACTCACTGGGGATCGAGAAGACAGAGCAGACACACACACACACACACACACACACACACACACACACACACACACACACACACACACACACACACACACACACACACACACACACACACACACACACACACACACACACACACACACACACACACACACACACACACACACACACACACAAAATGTGTCTATAGTTCTATTGTGATGTCTTAGTAAATATTCTGTTTGGTGAGATCAACTTTATTGTATTTATCCTAGTGGATCTCTAAATAAACGGGTAAACTAGCAGTATTACGTCCAACGTCAAGGAAAGCAAAAAGTTATCAGGAGAGGTAGAATGTTTAAGTGGTTAGCAGCAGTGTGCTAGACGATGGCCCCCTCCATGAGGCCACCACAGCTCAGCAGAACATCGTTGTAGCTTCTTCTGGGGAGAAAAACACTTAGAGAGAAAATAAAGTTAACAGCTGAAATTGCAGAAAGTAATACAGTTAAAGAGCAGAGAGTAAAAGAAAGCAGTAGAGTGTGGAAAGTGGTCAGTGTATCCTCCAGCAGTCTAAGCCTATAGCAGCATAACTACAGAGATAACTCTGGATAATCTATCCTATTTAGATGGAGGCATGTTGGAGGCAGGGCAAGGGAGAGTCGTCTTTACCGACTGTACACTCCACCTCCCTCTACTCCCCCACTTGTCCAGATTTAGGCTAACATCAGATTTTAACCATAGGCCCTATCAAATAAAAATGTTTTAAGCCTATTCTTAAATGTAGCCAAAGTGTCTGCCTCACGGACTAAGGCTGGGAGCTGGTTCCACAAGAGAGAAGCCTGATAACTAAACAGTACTGTTGCTATGCTAAAAAAGTTTAGTGGAACAGAAACATGCCCTTTGCAGTTATGCAGCCAACTACAGGTGCTGGCCAGTAAATTAGAATATCATCAAAAGGTTGAAAATATTTCAGTAATTCCATTCAAAACGTGAAACTTGTACATTATATTCATGCAATGCACACAGACCAATGTATTTCCGATGTTTATTACGTTTAATTTTGATATTTATAGGTGACAACCAATGAAAACATCAAATCTGGTATCTCAGAAAATTAGAATATTCTAAAGGCCAATGAAAAAATGTTTGTTTCTCTAATGTTGGCCAACTGAAAAGAATGAACATGAAAAGAATGTGCATGTATAGCACTCAATACTTAGTCGGGGCTCCTTTTGCCTCAATAACTGCAGTAATGCGGCGTGGCATGGACTCGATCAGTCTGTGGCACTGCTCAGGTGTTATGAGAGCCCAGGTTGCTCTGATAGTCGTCTTCAGCTCCTCTGCATTGTTGGGTCTAGCGTATTGCATCCTCCGCTTCACAATACCCCATAGATTTTCTATGGGGTTAAGGTCAGGCGAGTTTGCTGGCCAATCAAGGACAGGGATACCATGGTCCTTGAACCAGGTGCTGGTGGTTTTGGCACTGTGTGCAGGTGCCAAGTCCTGTTGAAAGGTGAAGTCTGCATCCCCATAAAGTTGGTCAGCAGCAGGAAGCATGAAGTGCTCTAAAACTTCCTGGTAGACGGCTGCATTGACCCTGGACCTCAGGAAACAGAGTGGGCCAACACCGGCAGATGACATGGCACCCCACACCATCACTGACGGTGGAAACTTTACACTGCACCTCATGCAACGTGGATTCTGTGCTTCTCCGCTCTTCCTCCAGACTCTGGGTCCTTGATTTCCAAAGGAAATGCAGAACTTGCTTTCATCAGAAAACATAACTTTGGACCACTCAGCATCAGTCCAGTCCTTTTTGTCCTTGGCCCAGGCGAGACGCTTCTTGCGCTGTTTCATGTTCAAGAGTGGCTTGACACACGGAATGCGACACCTGAATCCCATGTCTTTCATGAGTCTCCTCGTGGTGGTTCTTGAAGCGCTGACTCCAGCTGCAGTCCACTCTTTGTGGATCTCCCCCACATTTTTGAATGGGTTTGTCGTCACAATTCTCTGCAGGGTGCGGTTATCCCTAGAGCTTGTACACTTTTTTCTACCACATTTTTTCCGTCCCTTCGCCTGTCTGTTAATGTGCTTGGACACAGAGCTCTGCGAACAGCCAGCTTCTTTAGCAATCACCTTTTGTGTCTTGCCCTCCTTGTGCAAGGTGTCAATGATTGTCTTTTGGACAGCTGTTAAGTCAGAAGTCTTCCCCATGATTGTGGTGCCTTCAAAACAAGACTGAGGGACCTTTTAAAGGCCTTTGCAGGTGTTTTGAGTAAATCAGCTGATTAGAGTGGCAGCAGGTGTCTTCTATATTCAGCCTTTTCAGAATATTCTAATTTTTTGAGATACCAAATTTGGAGTTTTCATTAGTTGTCACTTATGAATATCAAATTTAAATGTAATGAACATTGGAAATACATTGGTCTGTGTGCATTGCATGAATATAATGTACAAGTTTCACGTTTTGAATGGAATTACTGAAATATTTTCAACCTTTTGATGATATTCTAATTTACTGGCCAGCACCTGTATGATCTGCCTTGCATGTTCATCCCTAGCCAATGGAAATTGATTTAAAATCTGATTTCACTGCTTGACCCCTTTGATAAGCTCACACGCAAAATAACTGAATCAACAGCATCAGCTGCGGATGTAATTCCATCCATCAAAGCCTTAACTCGTCTTCTTGAGAAAACACAGGAGACTGACCATGGTGTAAAAACCGTCAAAGCCACAATGTAGGAATCTGTCAAGAAGAGATTCAAGGACATGGAATCTGAGCCTCTGTACACGATTGCAACACTCCTCAATCCAAGGTGAGAAAAAAACTGTATATTTGTGTGTGTGTGTGCGTGTGTGTGTGAGTGTGTATTAAAGATTATTATGCTCCGTCTCTGTCTAGCTTTGCTAAAAGTAAAATGTAACCATAGCTTTGTGTTTTTTCTTTCCTGTTGGCATTTCTTTTCAAATTCGATTTACAAATAAGCAGTTATGTAGACAAATATAGAATGGAACAAACATGTGGGGACTGTGCTATGAGGCCAGCTAAGCCCATGACTAAAAAAAAACACGCTAAGCAAGATCTATGAAATCCATCACGACAGACTAATGATTTGTTTTCTTTTTTTCTGTTTCTCTTCAAACAAAAAAGGTATAAAGACAGGTTTTTCCACACCACACTCAAGCCACAGATACACAGGCTCTGACGTCCTGAGCCGGGCCACTGTAGTGGAGCAACAGGTCAGTGAGGAGAGTTCTGCAGCGAGCAACTTCGAGCCCCCACAGAAAGTACCACGGACTGGCTTGCATGCGATGTATGCTGAACTGTTGGCTGAAGATGGCTAACATGAAGCTGCTGCTGACATCAACACCACATCAGCAGAGATTGCTCTTTACCTATCAAAGCCAGTTATTCCAGATAACAAACAGCTCCTTGATTTCTGGAAAGCCAATGAGCACCAATTTCCTGCTCTCGCACAAGCAGCACGTTCCTATCCATGTTCACCTTGCACAAGCGTAGATAGAGAGCATTTTTTCAGCACAGCAGGACTTATTATGGATGAGAAGAGGAGCAGGTTAAGTGCAAAAAATGCTGAGATGCTTAAATTTTGCAAGGCAAATCTGCCATTCATTCTGCTTAATCAGAAGTAAGCTTTGGGTGTGTTCCTAACCTCCATCCCATATTTCTAAGTTACCAGAAATGCCTCAGCTAAAACGAGGATAGAGCCAGGCCTACAGATTGAGCTCCAATGTTTATTTAGTTTTATTTTAGTTTTTTACTGTGCAATTCATTGCCCATGGCAATCTCCTTACTCCTTTCTACCTCACCTGAAATAGGTATGTTTACAGATAGAGCTCAATAGTTTTTATTTTGATTTAATTTATTTTTTGCCAATGCTGTGAAATTGTTTGCACACTTCTGTCTGTTATCTCCCACATGCAGACAAGTTGTCTTGAAATTATATCATTTTATGTGCTACGGCATGTTTATATTGCACTTTTGAGTTTATTTTTTGACAGGGAAAGCTACATTTGTATGTTGCAGTTGCACATATGTCATTGTTCTTGCTCTCATTTATGACATTTATTTTTTCACAAAAAAAGCTTGTAGCTAAACTCCAAATTATGTCTAAGAAAAAGCCTCTGGAGAGAGTTAATTGTTTATTATGGTGCACATAAAGGGTGTTGTGCACATAATTTCTCATTTTAAGATTTAATTCCTTTTTCCACAGGAAAACTAACGTTTTTAGTTTAGTAATTGTATCAACTCTGAGTGAAATGTTTGTGTTGTTGCACTGCAAATGTGTTGTACACATAGTTATTGCTACAAGAAAACATAAGCTAGTATGCTACACTTACCCTATGTACGCTGAATCTAAGTTGTCTCTTAAGAGAGTCTGTAGACTAAATAAAATATTGCACATTACTCCGCTTGCAATAAAGCAGTGGTTAGTTCACAACACTTTGTCATCTCCTACTTTTCATACTAAGAATACAATGTCAATGTTGCGTACATGAGAAAACAATATTGGAGAATCTGGATTTTGGGTTACTCGTTTAGGGGACTTTTTATTCAGACTACTATCAACTAACCCACAGCTTACAATTTATCCATTTACTTCAGAACAGAGTGGCTTTCCTTAGCATAACTGCTGAGAACTGGAACCGGAAATAATCCTCTCCACCCGCTGAATTGCCCTTCAAAATAAAACTAACACATAACGTTACTCTCATATCATTAACTCTCTGCAATAAAAATAACATTGATGACAATGTTAAACCTCAACACACAATGTTGAGTTATTATTTATTTTTTTGCATTTCTGCACTATTTAGTGTTTAGAACTTTTAAATGATAAATGACCCGCTCTTGTATAACACCTTACAAAGTAAGGACTCCAAAGCACTTTACACTACAGTCAGTGAATCATTCATCCATTCACACACTTGATGGTGATGAGCTACGATGTAGCCACAGCTGCCCTGGGGCGCACTGACAGAGGCATTAATATTTAAATCAGTTAGATTGTTACTGATACGAACTACTCAACTGGCCACTCCTGAACATTTGCTACCACAAACCCCCTCTAGCCCAACCATCTCAAGCCCTACTGCTTCATTTTCCTCTTTTTCCCCTGTCACTGAGAACTGTGTGTCCAAGCTTCTCACATGCAGCCGCCCTATTACATGCCCACAGGACCCCATTCCGTCTAAGCTGCTCCAAGCTATTGCTCCTACAGTAGCCACAGCAGTCACACATGTGATCAACGCTTCACTGACATCCGGTACATTTCCCACCTCTCTCAAGCATGCTCAGGTTAAACCGCTGCTAAAAAAAACCCATCTCTTCCTCCAAATCATGTGGAGAACTACAGACCTATCTCTCTCCTCCCTTTTCTGTCTAAAATCATTGAAAGGGTGGCTTTCAAGCAGATCACAGAATACCTCACACAAAACTGTCTGCTTGACCTTTACCAATCTGGGTTCAAAAAGGGCCACTCCACTGAAACTGCTCTGTTAGCTGTGACGGAATCCTTAAAAGAAGCTAGAGCGACAGGCAAATCCTCAGTGCTTATCCTGCTCGACTTATCGGCTGCATTTGACACTGTCAACCATGGCTTCCTTTTGTCCACACTCTCTAGCATGGGCATCACAGAGAAAGCACATGCCTGGTTTGAATTGTACCTCACAGGACGATCATTCAGTATCTTGGCTTGGACAATCCTCTACCGTGCACCATCGTGCCACAGGAGTCCCCCAGGGCTCTGTACTAGGACCTCTTCTCTTTGCCATATACAACACCTCACTAGGTGAGATCATTCGATCACATGGCTTCTCCTACCACTGCTATGCAGACGACACCCAGCTCTATCTGTCATTTCCACCGGACGACCACACTGTCTCTGCACGAATATCAAACCGTCTCTCTGACATATTAAAATGGATGAAATCCCACCATCTCCAACTCAACCTCTCTAAAACTGAACTACTTGTCATCCCAGCAAAACCATCCATACAGCACAATATCTCAATCCAAAATGACTTCCTATCTCTGGCTCCTTCAAAGGCAGTTTGAAATCTAGGTGTTGTGATTGATGAACACCTGACCTTTAAAGATCATGTTGCCTCTGTTGCCCGTTCATGCCGCTTTGCGCTGTATAACATACGAAAGATCAGACCATACCTAACACAACATGCCACCCAGCTCCTGGTGCAATCTACTGTCATCTCTTGCCTCGATTACTGCAATGCCCTTCTAACTGGTCTTCCAGGCTGTACTGTGCGACCTCTTCAAATGGTCCAGAACGCAGCGGCGCGTCTGGTCTTCAATCAGCCAAAAAGAGCACACGTCACCCCTCTGTTCATTGAGCTCAGGACAATCCAGACTCTTCTCATGCATTGTTCCACAAATGTGGAATGACCTTCCAAGCACTACCAGAACTGCGGCTTCCTTTTCAATTTTCAAGAAACTCCTGGAGACCCTGCTCTTCAGAGAGCATCTTCTTAACTAGCATCCTCCCTGCACCCGTCCCCCCCTCCCCTCCACCGTCCACTCCTTTGTTCCCTCCTCTCGATGATTGATGTCAAGTTGTTGTTATTGTTGTTGTTAGCCTCAAGGGTATACAACATTTTGAATTAATGAATAGATTCATAAGAACTAATGAAACACAGAATTCCACCTTAAAAAAGGGAAATGGCTGCTAATTATGTAAAAACATTTTTAAAAATTCACAAGTAAGAACTGCTTTTCTGGCACAGTCAGATGTTGTCTCAAACTGTTTCACATTGTTTAAAAAGCAAAGAAAATTTGGTGTTTTATTAACAAATAACATATAAAGAAAACATTTAGGTGACAAGAAACATGGATTTAATGATGTCACACGACGGCAACATCACTCGAACAATTATGTTCTTTCACATTGGTTTTGAAAATAATTTTGCTACGAGCAGATCCAGAAACTACAACGCCAGAAAACTAGCATCTGCATTGCATTCTCTCGATGGAATTAACTGAAGGACTAAAAAAGTCTGAAGAGTCACGCCATGCTTTCTGCTCCACATGTAACATTTACTGTAATGCTTTTTTTTTTTTAAAACTAGCGACAGTCACGGTGATGTGTAAAACTACCCTGAAACGTAAATACTGCCCCCTAGCGGCAGAAAACTAAACACTGTAGTTTTAAATATTTAGCTTGCAATATAATTTTTAGGTTTAATTTCTTTTATTTGCAAACTAAAAAGTACAAATCCTAAAAATATAAATCAGAAAACAAAGTAATTTTTTTACTCCAAAGGAATTCTATAACTTGCTAACTAAAGGTTTAGTGGTGAACTGATAGTTGTTTATGAATGAATGACATGGTGAAAATATGACCACCTATTTCCCCCTCTTATGACAAGCTCAACAACCCGAACTATTGCTGTTATTGCTTCACTTTACAAACATTCATTTTAATCAGGAAGAAGGGCCACAGGTGGCTGCAGAACCAGATCTTAAAAACGTACCATAGGAGTGTTGGGCGGAACCAGGTTCAGTCCTGTTTCCGAACCACTGGACTGCAGTAAATTAGGCGCACTCCTCCACCAGAACGTGTCATGAGTCCGCAGGGGGCAGGGGGGGACCTCAAGCCTCGCCGCGGAGGAGGGGGCGGCCGCGGCCCGGATGGTGCTCGGCGCCCTCAGGGACCCCGAGCCGGTTGCGCCATCGGGTCTCCGCTGGCGGAACCTGGGATTCACCCCAGCTCTGTCTCTGGACGAGGCTCTGGAGGAAGTGACCGGGTGCGACAGGACGGGCTCTGATAGGTACATGTAGACTGTCTTCCCGTCCTGCAGCGGGGAAAAAGCTCCGACTCTCAGCAGGGAGGACCGTAGGAGCATCTCCTCCGTGTCTCCTCGGTGGTTCCTCCTGCTCCTCTTGGTCAGCACCAGCAACTTGTAACCCAGGAAGAGACAGTTGAACAGGAGCAGGGTGACCACGCACGGGATGAGCAGAAGGACAACGACAGTCAGGTTAGTCACCGGGGAGCCCTCGGTCAGACTGGGTGGTGTGGTCTGACCTAAGTTCGACATTTCATCCGTGAGAACATATCTGGTCCTCTTTAGAGAAACGCCGCTGCGAGGGTGCAACAGGTGCGCCTTGATTTGAGCTGCCATGACAACGGCTCACCGCTAGATGGCAGCAGATCGCTCCTGAGACCCACCAGTCTGGATCTTGAGGTGATTTTTCAGTTGAGATGGACATGATGAAGGGAATATTCAGGTTCAGGAGCACTGCGTCAAGGAATCACACCCTCAACCCATCCAAATGTATACAGTTTAAATCACTGCAAGCAAATAGCTGAAATTACATAGAGAGACAAAGTCATCAAGCCACGTCAAGTAACACACTCGTTTCATATCGGGTCCAGATTCAAACCAGCTCCGAAATAAATAGATTATGTAATAAAATGACATTTAGTAAAAGCAATAAATTCAACTTAAGAGAAAAATAACAAATTGCATCATCTTCACTTCCACACAATGCTTTATAAGCACAGGGTCAATTACTATACCAGGAAGAATCTCCCTGCAGAACCAGAACCAAGCTCACAATGGGCTGACCGAGGTCTGAGAGGAGAGGAAAGGTACAGTCATAAAGAGCCCAGCATTGGTTACTAGAAGAAGTGATGATGCTAGAATTGGTGAACTCTGGCAGAAGGATTTTGACTCATTTTACAGAATTTTAGTCGGACATCTTAATAAACCCCCCGAGGTGATTCAGGAGGGGCCCGGAGTAGAACCGCTGTCCGAGAGGAGCTAGTTCAGGTGGCTCAGGTATCTAGTTAAGATGCCTCCTGGACGCCTCCATGGTGAGATTTTCCAGGTATGTCCAACCAGAAGGAGACCAAAAGGAAGACAGGACACACTGGGGAATGTTTCTCAGCTGGCCAGGGAACACCTTGGGATTCCGCGGAGAAGCTGGCCCAAGTGGCTGGGGAGAGGGAAGTCTGGGCCTCTCTACTTAGCCTGCTGCCCCATCTTTCTTCAGCTTGACAGCATCCCTAACTGCTGGTGTCCACCAGCAGATCTGAGCGTTGTCACCACGACAGGCATCAACAACCCTGCGGCTACAGCTCCGGTCATCCGCCTCGACATTGGAAGCACAGAACATGGCCCACTTGTACTCAATGTCCCCCGCTTCCCTCGAGATGTGTTCGGAATTCGGTCGGAAGTGAAAATTGAAGTTCCTTCTGATAGTAGACTCCGCCAGACATTTCCAGCAGATGCTCACAATACATTTAGGTCTGCCAGGTCTGACCGGCGTCCTCCCCCACCATCAAAGCCAACTCACCACGATAGTGATCAGTTGACAGCTCCGCGCTACTCTTCACCCGAGTGCCCAAGACATGCGGCCGCAGATCAGATGAAACGACAACAAAGTCGATAATCAAACTGCGGCCTAAGGTATCCTGGTGCCAAGAGCACATATGGACACCTTTATGCTTGAACATGGTGTTCATTATGGACAACCCATGATGTGCACAGAAGTCTAGTAACAAAACACTGCTCAGATTCAGGCCGGGGGGGGGGGGGGCGTTCCTCCAAACCACACCTATCCAGGTGTAGCCCACGTGAGCGTTAAAGTCCCCCAGCAGAACGACATTTTCTTTATATTTTAACTAAACTGAAGCTAAAGTACTTGTGTTTATTTTAACTGCTGCAAAAATGTCTGTGGTTAACATTTTAGACAATGTGTTATTTTACCAGCATGCGAGGTTTTTGCTTGGAAATGGCACGTTTTTAATAAGTTTCGGTCTTTTATTAAAGAGCAAGTCACCCCCAAATCAACTTTTTTTTCTGATAAACTAAATAAATGCGTGTCTAATTGTGCTGCAGACACGTGTAGTCAATAGTTTTGCACTTGAGTGAATTTTAGTAAAAATTTAAATTTTCTGCCTAAAACTGTCAGTGCTGTGCCATTGTCAGGTAAAAACTCTGCACTGCATTTGAATTTAAATCTGCAATCGCTATTGGCTAAGAGGTACCCTAGAACATTAGCTAGTACCATATGATGTCACAAAGTCGTTGTGAGCCTGTGTGTGTGTATTTGTTAGCGGCTCCGCCCTCTCGGTCTGCTAGGCAACAGCATTTGTTGCATTTTTCAAACAGGAAGTGGGAGTGGAGTAATACTTTTGTAGGGGGTGACTTGCTCTTTAAGTGCAGTTATGCAACCAGACATTTAGCTTTGCAGACAGATGTGGGCTTCTCTTTTGTTGTTTCTCTGTTGGCTGATTATGCGGGAACGACTGGGCTGATCTGAAGTGTGACATTTTCATTCAGTAGCCGTGGCTTCTCGCTGCACAGCATGTCGCTCACTCAGCTGTCGGTGCAACAGAGACGAGCTGTTCTGAAGTTTGAGAGAAAAACACACATTTATCATGGAAATGGCAGCAACAATGGAAGTTGTCAGAACAGCTTAGCGCCCTTTGTAGTAGGCATGAACTATCTTTGTTCAAAGTTGAATCCAGAACGATTTCATAATCATTTATAGACAAAGTGACTTTATCAGTACGAATCTGACGGTTTTTCTTCAAGATGCACATGATTCATAAGCCTCAAGAGCCAGATTTGACTTTATCAGGACATCACACTGAACATGAGCTCCATCTGTACCACGACGGGGTAAAAATACAAGCAGGAACAGTTATAAAACCCTTTAGCAGAGAAGTGAGCATAGCTATTTACTGATTCCAGTGGTAGAGGGTCACAGATGATGGGTTAAAATAGATCCTGTGCAGAGAAAATGTGAATGCAGTGATGATTGGATGGCCCTTCACTGAAATGATGGCTGTTGACTCCAAACACGGAGCAAAAGTAACCTGCAGTTATTTAAAACCGTGGAGAGCTGCAGTAAAGTTCCTGAAAACACATAAAAAAGGCAGCAGAGACACAGCAGTTATTGATTTATATATGGTTATTGATAGAGAATCGGAAATGGTTGTTTACAGATGTGGATGTGTATAAAGTAAACAAAAACAAAGGTGTTGAAATTAAGTAGAATAAAAGTTATTTTTCCTCCCTTGTCACAATCTGCTCCTGCCTCCCTGGCTGTGTCTCTCCCCTGCCTGATTAGTCTTTATTGTTCTCACCGGCCCCGTGTTAATCCGCCCATGTGTTCCTGATTTTCCCCTGTGTATTTATACCTCCCTTCTTGTATGAGTCTTTGTTGGATCATTGTTTGTTGTCAGCGTTGTTTTGTTCTGTCGTTCCCGCTCTGCCATTAAAACCATTTTTATTTAATCCGTGCCTCCATTCCTGCCTCCTGATCTGCTCCACCACACATGGTCCGCCTTCATCCACACCGTCAACGTGACATCTATTCAGTATTAAACACAAGTCAGCTGTTGCTTCTGGTCATTGATTCTGATGCTTTTTAAAGGGAGACTAGGCAGTTTTGGCTTGCCTTTAGCACCCCCTAGTGTCTGTTTAGAAGAGCCAAAAGCAAAACTTATCTTCTCGCTGTGTGTCTTTTTAACACCTTAATCTAAAAGCTGAAATGTCTCCCAGCCATCTTTAGAGTCTACAGGATTGAGTCATCACTAACTGAAACAAATCAGCTGTGATCATGATCTAAAACATGCAGGAAACGTGCACGGACCCGACGGCAGTGCCAGGTATTTCAGCTCCATTTTTTTTTCTAAGTCCATCAGACCGGACCGCCACTCTGAAGTTGCAAATGCAGTAATCTGGCCACAGAGGGCGGTGTTTGTCTGAGTGACATTTCATAAACCCCTATAAAGGGCTCAAGAAAATTATTAGAAAAATGATTTAAAAATAGGAAAAATTGTTTAGTGTGCCTTTAAATAATGGAATAAATGAACCCACTAGGCAGCACGTTTGGCTCCAGTATCAGCCGATGTTGGCTTTACCATTACTGATACTGACCAGGACTAAAGATGGCTGATATGTGCTGCTGATTTTCTTGGACCGATTTTAACGGCCGACATTTGGCCGTTTCTGCCTGATTTACCTAAACTTGACCCTGAATCAGCTTTTGACTGCATTTAACCATCTGTTGTGTCCTAATTCCCCATTAGGTTTCGATTGTCTCGAGACATTTAAAAATTTTGCAGATTCAAGAAACTTTGAGCCAGATGCAGCAAAGGAGCCTCAAACCAAACCAACCCCCTCCATGCTTTAGAGTTTTTTCTTCGAAAGGGTCACTTTTCTCCTGTCTGGTTTCATCAGCCAAAAGAACATTTTCGCACAAACTTTAGAGCTGGTTGACATACATTTAAGTCTAGATTTGTATGTTTTTCTGTCAGTAGTGGAGCCCCTCTGGGTCTTCTTCCAGGAAGCCCATCATAGTTCATCATTATGTTGAAGTTGATCAGCCTGTGGCTGTGTTTCCTCCTGGGTTCACCCTGGGCGGTGGAGTGAATCAGTCTTTTACTTTTTTCAGCTGTGGATCATTACGCTGCTTTGAGGAGGCCTTTGAGCTTCTACAATGTTTTTTTCTGAGCGTGTATTTTTATTTTTACTTTTTAATGTAACACCTAATCCTAAAGGCCTGAGGGTCCGATAAAATTTAATGGAGCGTTGCTTCTGTGAGCTGCAAGGGTACACACACACACACACACATGCATGCATGCGCGCACACACACGCACTAGGCCCTTTAAGTTTATATGCTCAGAGGTCCTGCTATTTCAGCTGTTTACTTTATTTTTTCCCTTAAGTGTTTTTTCTCCCCAGAAGAAGCTACAATGATGTTCTGCTGAGCTGTGGTGGCCTCATGGAGGGGGCCGTCGGCTTGAACATGGCTGCTAACCACTTAAACATTCTCCCTCTCCCTCTCTGGTTGACGGATCAGCACGGATTGGGATGGATTAATGTACGCCATTATTGGAACTAGAGGGATTGAAGACCAACAGGACTCTAAGGCAGAGAGGAAATGATCTCTGTCTGTAACCAAAATAATTTTTATCTGAATCTGGTGCCCTTGAAGCCTGCAAGGCTGAATTGTAAACTCCCCCCTCAGAAGAAATGTGGAATACAGCTGACGCTATGGAAACCCTTTCTCCCTATCCCAGCCTGGGCAGGACTGTGATGGGGGAAGGACGTGGTCCCGTATCTAGGAGTCACTGTACACTCTAAACTATTATCCCCCTCCCCTGTCCAAAACGGAGGTAAAGAGCACTGCTCCATGCGGCTGCACGCACTGAAGTGTGGAGAGTCCCAACCCTTCTTCCCCACCTAGTGGACACTTAGGTTTTATATCGTCTGACGTCTGTCTGCTTATTTGTCTGAGGTGTTTCGTTGCATAGCAAAGCTATCCTCTCTGTCGGGGGTAACTCTGAAGTGCCCTTTTTCTCTCCCCCTGACCCTGACTCTATCCTCATTTAACCCCTCTTGATCTATAACGGTAGCGCGACTCGGGTTGCGAATGACCACAGTCACCAATTCTTGTAATGTGTCTATGTATGTATGCATGTCTGATCTCAGAATTGTGTGTGTACTGAGACTCTAATTTCCCTCTGGGATTAATAAAGTATTTTTGAATTAAACTGAATTGAATTGAATAACATTTTACTTTCTTTGACATTGAATGTGCTACTACTAGTTTACCCTTTAATTATAGATTCACTAGGATAAATACAATAAAGTTTATCTCTCACTAAATAGAATATTTACTAAGAAATCACAATGTAACCATAGACACATTACTTGGTATATATGTTGTGTGTGCGGATGTGTGTGTGTGTGTGTGTGCGTGTGTGTGTGTGTGTGTGTGTGTGTGTGTGTGTGTGCGTGTGTGTGTGTGTGTGTGTGTGCGTGCGTGTGTGTGTGTGTGTGTGTGTGTGTGTGTGTGTGTCTTCTCTGTCCTCTCGATCCCCAGTGAGTCGTGGAGGATGGCTGCTTATACTGAGCCAGGATCCTCTGGAGGTTTCTTCCTGTTAAAAGGGAGTTTTCCTCTCCACTGTCGCTAAATGCTTGCTTAGTATAAGTATTGCTGTAAAGACTATGACACCAGCAATTTGCTGGGTTCCTCATACAGGAAACTTTTTTCTGATTGGCTTAATGAACTGACCTGCACTGAAATGTTTATTATGTGAAGTGCCTTGCGACGACTCTTGTTGTGATTTGGCGCTATATAAATAAACTTGAATTGAATGTGTTGCTGTGCAGAGGTTTTCACATCAGACTGTCAGCAGCAGAGAGGGAGGAAAGCTGTCACCAAAGGGCCGTTGAAACGTAACCTTTTTAAGTTAACGGTGCATAGTTAAACAAACGTCTGCAGCAAAGACAAGTGAAAAAGAGAGATGTGCAACTCTTGTCTTTATTTATTTATTTATTTATTTATTCATGTTTTCAAGATACATGAGCAGCAGTAATATTGCAATAAATATATTTATATATACAAACTTTTCTGATAATTCAATAGAACATTTGACAATTGAATCTCTTTTAGAGACAACATTTTTTATTTTTGCACACAAAGTAGACCTTTGCACACAAGTACATTATGCTATTGTAATAAATCAATGCAAAAGTCCAGTCATATGAGCACCATATAACTATAAGAAGAAAAACAAGAAGGTAGTTGTTTTTTTCCTTGCTTCTCTCTACTGTTCGGGTTTTAAGGAAGTCTTGACAGACTTGACCAGCACACTGACATCCCACCTTAAGTTAGCAAGAATTACAGTACGGACGACTGTTTTTCGCTCAAGAGAAGGCTGTTGAGTGAATGTTTGTTCCAGGTAGCAAAAGAAACCATTTGTTGGTTCTGCACCTTCTGCTCTTGTGGCATCAGAATTGTGTGTTGTGCCAAAAGTCCTTTAGGTCCGGTTCGACCTACAACTCAGCACCGCTTGCCGTTTCCAAACACAATGAGAGGCTGTGATTGGCTGTGATTTTAGCACCAGAGGCAAGGCTGTGGTTGTGAAGTGATGGTGAAGACGCACGGTGAGGCCATGTCAGTGGGCTAGCACTGGCCCAGGCTGTGCTTGATGATCTCACGGGACTGCGGTGGGATCCTGTCAGGGAAGAGCACCTGGAACTCCACCACCAAGTCGCCTCTCTGGGACGGGCTCTTGGGCAGTGGCAGCCCCTCTCCCCTCAGTCGTCGGACGGCGCCGGGTTTGATGACGTCGCTGCAGGGGAGAGGCATCATCCGGCTGTCGAGCGTCGGGACATTGACCGTGCAACCGCAGAGAGCCTGTCAACAAATGAAGAAAGATGCATTTAGTCCTCCGGTTCTGTTGTTTATGTCCTCATATGATCAGAATGAAATCCTACGTTCACATAATCTAGCATCCAAAAATGAGCCATTGCATAAGTGTTAAATATGAGGTGCGAGTTCTCCAAGAAGATTTTCTGTTATGCAACCGTGCCACAGATGTTATAATCACTGCTCTATTTTATGACTGTGTGTGGGAGTCAAGTGTTTCGGTGACTGATAGGGAGCCAAAAGAACGATGGAGGAGCTATTTGAAATGTCAGCCACTGTGACTGCTACCCTGCTAATCTGTGCGTGGGTTGGTGGAAGTGAGAGGCTGAGATGGATAGAGTCCAAAAAAAAAAAACAGGTCCTGCTGTGCCTGGCGTGTCGAAGCAGAGGAGTCTGCAGCAAGTGTAGTGGTTGAGAGTGAGGGTGAAGTGTGATTCGTGGGCGCAGTCAGCAGTGAGGGCTAAATTTAGCTCCTCTCTCTGCCTCTGCAGGGGCTGCTGAGGTAACGGAGGGGCTGGAGGACTGCTGCTGGTCGCGTTGTGGGGGAATATTAGCCATTTGTGTGTCCCCCGGAACAGAACACTATGTTCTGTCCTCAGCATATTTTTAAACTTTACATCTAGTTTAGATAAGCTCTGCCTTTTCTTCACTTCTGCTCAGTTTTCAGCATTTCACAGAAAACCTCACCTCTTTGAGGGTAATCTGGGCAGTGTAGACGATGTTGGAGCCGTCTCTCTTGTAGCTTGGGTGGTCTTCATCCCTGAGGATGAAGGTGATGTCTGCAGGGGTGTTGTTGGGTGTCTCGTCTCCCTCCCGGGGAAAGGTGATCCTGGTTCCTGCTTTCCAGCCCTTCTTCACCACCACATTTAGCACCTTCTCCTCGTTTCGCAGGCTCCGGCCATCGGGGTTGAGGCGACTGCGGGTGATCTTCACTTGCTTCGCGCAGCCGTGCATCACATCGTCTAGGGTCACCGGCAGATCGTGCACAATCGCGTCACCCTGCAACCGTCGCTGGCCTTTGTGCTGGCCGGCCTCGTAGCCAGCGAAGCCGCTCAGGTGGCTGAAGGGAAACCGCCTGAAGGGGTTGAAGAGGTCGTCTTCGCTGTCGCCGTCGCTGCTGAAGTAGCTGTCAAAGTGGTCGGAGTTGTGAAAGAAGGAGGAGAAGGTGGCATGGGGATCGCTGGGGAAATTATTGCGGAAGAGGTTGCCTTGGCTTGGAGCAATGCCATTTTTAAGGCCTGAAACGGAACAGAAAGAAACCAGAGTTTAGACACATTTTCTAAATTTAGGAGCTGAACTCCTCTCTTCATATTTAATCAGGCTCACAGCTGTCATTGAGCACACACTGAGAGAGTTTTAGTCATCAACCTCCCACCGTGCCTTGGTATTTAGCTCCAAGTAACAGGAATAATTCATGAAGCTGCCTACTTTACAGATATTAACCAGATAACATTTGAAGCTAGATATCAGTGAAACCAAAAGGATCAGATCTCCTTTCTGCTCACCTTCCTCTCCAAACTGATCGTAAATGCTTCTCTTTTTGGGGTCAGTCAGGATCTCGTAGGCCTCTGCAATCTCTTTGAACTTGTCCTCTGCGTCGGCGTCGCTGTTCTTGTCTGGGTGGAACTTCAGAGCCATCTTCCTGTAGGCCTTCTTGATCTCATCTTCGTTGGAGTCAGGGGTGACACCCAGGACTTTGTAGAAGTCTTTGCCGGTGGGTTTGATGGACAGACAGGGCGTGTCCTGCTCACACTTGGTGCCCTCCTGCAGGAACACAAAATACTTATTTAGACAAGTGGAAATCTTATCTTTTTATGAAGTTGTAATGATAAAAGGAAGATCCAACAACAGATTGTTTAAATGTGCCCTGTCTGTGGGGAAACACCCTTATCTCGGAGCTACTTTGGGAATGCTGGTGTTCTATAGGCTGAGGCTTCACACATTAGGGATGGCGAGGTGAACCATGTGAGGAAATTGTGAGAAGCAAAAGACTTCCCCCAACGACTGAGATGCTCTGCAGCGATTGGCTGACAGAGAATCCTCGTTTCTAGCATGTGAATGAACCCAAAGGCTCTGGCACCCAGAGAATCGCATGAAACTTAATTTGTGACTAACATGTTCATCTGGTGAGATTTCTAAGTTATTTAAAGAACAAAAGATCCAACAAACTCGGTGAAAACCGAACTTACCGCTGATGATGATGAGCCGGAGCTGTCCCCCCTGTGCATGACTCGCACTTTGCACTTCACGTTGCCGTTTTTCTGCTTCACACCGAACTGGGTCCAGATCAGAACCATGATGGAGAAGTTTTCTAGTCGCTGTCCGCTCGCTGTGGTGCTGAAACCGCTCTGCTCTAGTCGGACTGTTGTGCCTGAGCTGCTCTCTTCGGCTCTCTGTTAAATACCGGCGCCGCAGCTCCTTTTACGCTCCTCTCAGCCACCCACGCAGCGGGATCGAGCTTTCCCGGGACCGCCCACTTCGTCACGCGAGGCAGGGGATGCCGACGTCCTCTGTCCGCCGCGCGAGCTGCCATTGGCGCGCGGGCGATGATCACGCGGATGTTGCATCCTCCTTCTCCATCCCAAGTCTTGCTTCCGGAGTTCTGGAAGGCAGAGTCGAGCAGACAGTCACGACACAGAACACAGAGTCCCTTTTACCAGACAGAACAGCAGACCAGACTGAGAGAAAAAAAAAAGTCTGCACAGAAGTCTAGAAAAATCCCAGCTCAGAGACAGACATCATGTACCCAGTGGAGGGTGTTTTTGATGCAGTCTCTGAACTAATGTTCCACTTATATATGGATGAGAAATGGAACAGTCCTTATTTATCTGGGCTCTAGGGACTAGTTATGAAGTGATTAGAACAAATGTAAACGGGTTAACATTCTTCTCAGTTCCTGAGTACCAGAGCACATTTTAGTCATTGAATTATAGGTCAAAAGTGTGGAACACTAAAAATATTCATTATCATTTATGATTATAATCAGTCACTCCGAGTTTTTCATGCAGGCTGAACATGAAAATAGTCTCCTACACCTATCTGCTGCATTAGCTTCTGATTGAAAATAGACGGTGAAACTCTAGGTTTAGAAAAGCCTGATAGATACGTCACACTGTCACTTATTAATCATGGACTCATGGGCTGTTGTTGGTTTAGTGTCCAGGAAACAGCAGAGAATGTCTCGAACAGTAGAAGGTAACTCCACCACACAGCCGAACTCCTTCAGGCTTGTGTTATATGTGGAGATAAAACATCAACATTGTAGAGCAAATGGAGTCAGTGGTAGAGTCAAGATGCTGTTAACCAATCAGAGGAGAAGTGACCAAATATCAGGAAGTAAGTCTCCAAATCCTGCCGTCTGAAGCTCAGCTCTGATGTGGCTCACTTCTAGTACCTGAAACAGAGCTCTCACACTTCCAGAGAAGGACTGAGGCATTCATTCCTACTAGAGATCCCTGCAAATGTATTGGTTAAACAAGTGAACCACGTTTTTCAAACATACAAAGAACAAAACTGGGAAAACAACAGCAGCATTAATATACTCTAAAATACATTTGTTAGCCTCAAATGAATAAAAAAACAAATATTGTAATTCCTCCTTTTTGTGCAGACATAAAATGGCTGAAAATACTAACATTCTGAAACTACAAAAATGAGATGTTAAGTAGATCCTATGTTAGCTCTGAAAACTTGACCTACATGAGCGATGAGTTCTTTCAGCCCAAAGCAGAGTCCCAGTCTGTTGCGTCTTCACGAAGCATATGCTCCTCCAGGTTTGTAGAACATTACCAGAAAGGATTTTATCCTGGCTGCAGCGGGTGTTAGTCTCCCACGTAGTGGAAAACTCACTGAGCAGGTCCCAAACCAAGGTGACAAATGAGCATATTTAAGGTTTACCACAATGTTTAAACAGAAACAAGACAAATCTCTCAGTCTGTATTAACTGAATGGTGAAGGACTGTGAGATGAATGATGCTAAGATACATTTAATCTTTGTCTGAACACCTGAAGTATAACATAGTCCTCTTATTTATTTAAAGAATGTGGCTTAAAGTTTATCAGGTGTGAAAGGCTGCACAAAAGCATTTTTAATTTACAGTTTTAACTGGGCTTCTAAACTTTAACTGTAGCTTAGTTAGACATGAATAGTAAATATAAAAGTACAGAACTGGCAGATGTAAAGTTGGAATTTTATTTTTGATTTGGAAAAGACAAATGCTTTTTTCAAACTTGGCTTTTCAGCGGAAATATTTTGCAATCTTTCCAACCTGGCAGACATTCCAGCTGCCTCATGTCAAAGTAATCTGATTACACCCCACCTTATGCGGCTTGGAGCATCTCCTACAATATGGATGATCTAAATAGGGTCTTCAGTTAAGCTGATCCCACATCAGCATCAGAATGCAGATAGATCTAGTGTGTCTTAGATCAGTGGGATGAAACAGGAGCCAATCAAACAGCCAGTATCACTCCTATATAATAATTAACTTGCAGCCACACAAGAAGACTGATGCTGACAAATGACATTTACTGATAATGGGCCTACATTAAAAATGGAGATTTTTCTTTTAAAATCATCTAATTTTCATGTTTTTGTGAAATGGATAAATGGGACATTTCCAAGTGATCCCAAACTTTTTTAGTGTTAGTAAACACCGGAAACACATTTTGTAATTGACCAAACAAAAGAACATCAGCTTGTACTGAGCAGCTAAAAATGCTCCATTGACCAAGATTCTGGGTCCTTTTTCTACATCTGTAATGAGCGGTAATGGGAGTGTAAGGTCAGGCTGGTGTACTTTAGAACAGACAGGTTGATTATAGAAGTGGATCTGCCCCCGTGGGCCAGGATAATTATACTACTGCGGAAAAGGGATGCAAACCAATGCAACATGGGCTGTTTGAGAGCAAACAGCTGTGGGAGGAAAAGACAGCTCCACGTTATGTAACTGAATGTGTTAAAAAAACAAACACCTGTGATGTCTGGTCAGAGTCCACGGTGCACAGTGTGAAATTTGGAGATGTTGACTGAGAGACGAGTGAAGATTTGATGCAAACTGACTAGATTCTTTTGTGAATTTGTTTATTAAATTAAACTACGAATAAATGTTCCTTCTGCAGGCATAGGGTTGCATGAGGTGACATTACTGCTGCCAATAAAAGAGACAGACAGGCTGAGGTGTCTGAAGCTTAATATATTCACTTAAATTATTCACAGGAGCAACATGGTCCATGTGGAACATGCAGTACATCATGAGAAGACTCCCACCCATGCAATTCACCATCACTCGTTACGACAACGGACAATAACAGCAGGCAGTAAATGTTCTTGTTCTTTAGAGAGATTGTATTCAATAAATTATAAAATTTTGTGTGTGTGTGTGTGTGTGTGTGTGTGTGTGTGTGTGCGTGAGCGTATATGTACAAATGTCTTCTAGAACGCTTATTACAAAAATATCTTATAAACCACAGAATGAAATTTATCGTAATCACTGGTACTACGACTGTCGCTTGACTTAGGGAGTCATCTTGATTCAAGATGGTCTCCACATCCATCCATTCATCCATTTTCCTCCCCTTACACAAAGTTGGGTTGTGGGGGCAGCAGCCTTACCAGAGAAGCCCTGACTTCCCTCTCCTCAGCACTTGGGTCAGCTCTTCCGAGGGAATCCCGACCTTCCAGCGTGTCCTCAGGGTCCAGGACGCATCCTAACCAGATGCCCAAGCCACCTTAGGTTCCTCTCGATGTGGAGGAGCAGCGGGTCTACTGTGAGTCCCTCCCAGATGACCGAGCTTCTCACCCTATCTCTAAAAGAGAGCAGAGCCACCCTGTGGAGAAAACTCATTTCGGCCACTTGATCTTGTTCTTTTGGTCACTACTCAAAGCTTGTGACCATAGGTGAGGGTAGGAACATAGAGGGACCGGTAAATTGAGAGCTTTGCCTACTGGTTCAGCTCTCTCTTCACCACAACAGACCGGTACAACTCCCGCATCACTGCAGATGCAGCACCAATCCGCCTGTTGATCTCACACTCTGTCTTTCCCTCACTTGTGAACAAGAGCCTGAGATTCTTAAACTCCTCCACTTGGGACAGGACCTCGTCCCTGACCCGGAGAAGGCATTCTACTCTTTACCGACTCAGAGGAGCTGATTCTCATCACTAGCTTAATATTTGGAATTAACTTGATTAAAAATTATCTCCACATCTGGTTTTAGAAAACGTAAAAATGACTTTAACTTGGTCACTTTTGTGTATATAGAACCTCGATTTTACATGGAAGTAGCCGAGGGCCGCTTAAAAACCAACCACACGAGATCTTTTGTAATTTGTACATAGCTTTTCAGCAGAGGACGCCAAAGTGCTTTACATTTCAATCATTCACACGCAGATGGTGACGATGTTCAGTGTAGCCACAGCTGCTCTGGGGCTTACTGACAGAGGCACCACCGGTCCCTCTGACCGCCACCAGCAGGCATGGAGGGTGAAGTGTCACAAGGGCTTACATGTACATGAAAAATGAAAAAAATATTTTAATGCCTCAAAGCAAGTTAGCTTTATTCATGTTGCACATTTATAGAAACGATTCAATGTGCGAGAACAAACTGTTAGAACATAAAACAGCAGATTTGAAAAACAAATTTCAAGTACAGAAATAAAATTAGATAAAAAAAAGACAAAGTTAAAGACTGAGCAGTTACAGTGCAGAAGGTGCAGCACAGTAAAAAATCACTCAGAGGCAGAAAAAAAATCCCAGTTTTCAATTTAGATATAAAGGTTACTCGAGCTGGGGCACATGAGGTGATAGAGTAGCTGGTGCATCGGTGTGCAACGTAGTAGCTGAAAGCAGCTTCGTAGAACGTTCCTTTTACTGTAATTATTTGTTTCAATGTAATGTTTTAAATGTGGTAAGAAAACAGTGAATTTGATTTAAAATAGGGCATCCCATTCCCTCAATGCAACCAGAGTTTCTGCTTCTTCAGGAACACAAAGCTACAATTACCTAATCGTAAAAAATACCATCTAAAAAACAACAAAAGTAAAGAAAGCTCCTAAAAAAGGTCAAAATACTTTAAAAATTGCGTCATAGAGGCTCACACTCTTGCTTATTTACTAAACCTGTAACCACATGTAGGCCATGTACTTCGGAGCCATTTTTGTTTACTCCCATTGAAGTCTGTGTTTCTATTTGAGGCAGCGCTACACATACTACAGGATTTCGACACACGCTGTGCAGCAGCCATGGGTCTCAACAGGCAGCGTACATACATGGCCATGCTTCCTCCTCGATGAAGCTTCCTCCAATGAGGGATGGAGTTTCCTGGGGATTCTCCTGTCGTCTTACAGGAAGCAGCAGACAAATTTGGTTTAAACACACCGGAGCCAGGAACGTCATGCGAGGAGATAGCAGCTCATCCCTTTAGATACTATTCACAGAACGGGCA